GTAGGAACCTCGATGAATGTCAAGATGGAGTATCAATGCATCCAATTTGATGTATATTTCCACCTTTAGAAGCCGCTAAGTATGTACTGAATCTTTATCCACTCAATGTTCAACCGTGAGTTCTCGTAATATGCAGGTTGAAATGTGTTTCGTCCATAAATAGGATCGTGGAATTGTCAGCTTGATAATCCAGCAACCATTCGGCAAATCCCTTTCTCTTTTCCTTATTGGTACTATTATTCCCAGTTTTACGCTCAAACTTGATATCATTGATAGTGCATATTAAGCCATCGAGGTGATTGCAAATACATTCACTTGATATAGAAATATCGCACTCCTGAATTTCTTTTGCAAGCACAGATATTTCTTGGGTTCTGTTCATTCCCATCAACTAAAAATTGTCACAGAATCTCGGAAGTCTTCGAATGTATATAGCCTCCTCTTGTATCTAATTTATAAGCTTCCTTTATCCATCTATATGCAGTGGGTGTTTTGATTCCCAAACGTCTTCCAGTCTCCATCATTTTCGTAGACTGCCAAAAATTTCCTTTTCTTTTCTTGGGCTTCGGATTTTTTTAATATATGTCTTTATATAACATTGTGCAGGTGAATCTGAAGCTAGGAAATTATCGATTGCTAGAACGTACGGAAAAAGTGAATAGTGAATGCTTATTATTAGTGCATAGTTGTGATTTGAATTTGGATCTTTGTTTTATGGTGCTTACTTTGGGTTTTCTCATGTTGAATTTTGAAATTCTCATTTTGAAATTGTAATGGAATAATAGCGCGCTTCAATTCATGTGGTCGGGGAACCAAAGAAAAAAAATACTACCCACCAAAGCAGTTGCCATGAACATAGTTGTAGAAACTCGGAAGGAAGCCTAGTTCCGTAAGGTAGAAAGTGACGGACGCTGGGATGTCTGGTCTGTTGCAGTTTTTTGTGTATTCTTTAGTAGTGAGCCAGTGAAAATGAGCTGACTCATTTTTTAGTTCACCAATAGAATGGTTAACCAATCAGAAAGCTAAAAATATTCAATGTGACGTGTATAAAGGCAGCCATTTTTTTTCTCCCAAATTGTCTGCACTGCCAACCTGATATAGAAGACTTACAGAATTACTTAACAACCGCTATTTTCTCTGAATCTCCACTGCCAGCCTCTGATATTGAACAGATTACGGACTTCACTGGATTCCATATTCAGAGACTGCGGCAAACATGGTCAACATGGTCAGAATTGATTACATTACTAACCATTCTTCGGATTTTGTCAAGAATCGGGACATGCACTGCATGATCACCAAACCAGATATGGCAACAGAATGCCTTTAATATGTTTTTTTTTAATCTATTCACAACGAATAAAGTAATAATGCCACTAAGACGCAAGTGTCCATTAGAATGAAAGAGAATGAGTAGTCTTTAGAAGGAGCAGGTAACCTAATCCTAAACAGAAAATATGAAATAAACCTCGACTCCTGTTCAAAAGGCTGGAGAAGAATGTGGACCGGATGATAGGCGAAACTGTCTAATATGCTACAATTTTAAAATATATAATTAAATACACTGTATAAATTACAATGTCAGTTCATGCATTTACTGGTTATTGAACTTATTCTCACTTATTTATGAGATATTTTGTTGACAAGAGAATTTAACTGACGCTCACAATCGAATATGCCTCGTTTTAGTTAAACAGACAAAAACGTACTGAAACTAGATCAGTTTGTTAATATACTGTTTTATGTTTTTGTTTGTTTCTTTTATTTTAATATTTTCTTTTGATTTTGTTGCGTTTTTTTTGTATATGTGTGTACTAGTGAGCTAGCCAAAATGAGCTGACTCATTTTATAGTTCACCAATAGAAAGGTTAACCAATCAGAAATCTTAAAATATTCAATTCGACGTGTATAAAGGCAGCCATTTTGTTTTTTCTCCCAAATTATCCTCACTGCCAACCTGATATCGAAGACTTAAAGAATTATTTAACAGCCGCTACTTTCTCTGAATATTCACTACCAACCTCTGATATTGAAGACATTACGGACTTCACTGGATCCCATATTCAGAGACTGCGGCAAACATGATCAACAGATTTTGCAAGAAAAATTAGGAAAAAACAAATCAAATGAACTGAAATCTCGTTAAGACCTTCATATTTTGTTTTAATTTAATAACCGGCCTTTAATTTTGTTGTTGTAACAGGAGAAAATAGTTATATGATACTAGTTTCCTAAAAGCTTAAGTTTATATTTCCAATGTGATTTTACAGCCAAATGATAGGTGATTCTATAATTTAAAAAAGATCTCTAAAGTTCCCATTAACTTGAGGGACAATAATCATTGTAACTTAATGGTAATTAATAATATCTTGTGTAAGTCAACGATCTAATGGGTGAGCTATGGAAGAAAGGAATATTATCTCTCATTATGGGTATTATTATATTCATGACTTAATAAAGTATTATTTCACGAACGAAAAGATATAGCTGAATGGAAATTAAAGCCAAACGACATTTGTCCTCAGAGTTTTCATACCGCTAAGCCATGCACAAAATTATACACGTTTATTTAGACGTGTACCACATAGATAAACTATAACATATGTATACCATACAGACAGTATGAAAATGGGAAAGAAAGAGAGAGTCTTACTTGTAATAATTCCCAACGGATTTTCAGCTTCCGGGTGATTCTTCTGTGTTTCTGGAGAAGCCATATTTAGGATTTATGATATTTACGAGATTCAAGCGGGTCTGATTTAAATTCTATATCACCAGCGTGGAAATATTCCTTAAACCGGAATGGACGAGTTATGGATTTTTCACAACATGAAGATTGCGAACCGGATATCAGGTGAGGATATGTTTCTAAAGTAAAATAGCACTATGGGCTTGTGAGCTGACATTCTGACAGTTCGGCAGAACGAGGCAAAGATAAAAATAATCAAATTCTCGGTTTTATTTTTGGAAGATGACTGACGGACTGATAAATGTTGCTTGAGCGTTTTCTGAAAAGGGTTATTTTTGTGTTGGATATATATATATATATATATATATATATATATATATATATATATATGACAAAGTGAAAAATATTTTAGCGTGACGCGTTTTGTCCTTTAAGACTTCATCGAACTAAATCTTTTACGTTGGTGCCACTACAGATGCACACGAATGAGGGATGCTGGGAATTTGTTTTGTATATAATTTATGTAGATTCTTTTTTTGTATTTGTTTCTATCACTTTTTTATTAGATCAGAGTAACATTTTTATATCAAAATTCTAATCAGTCTCGTTACGATGATATGCTATTCTGATCGAAAGAAAAACGCAATTCACTAAAACGAAAAGATTTAAAGTGACCTTGATCACAAAGCTATCCACAGTAAATTCGCGCCCTGGTTCCAAAAACATGTCACGTTCCTGGCAGAGGTATCTACTATTACAGTGTGGGATATGTAATAACAAAAGTAATCGAAACCTAAAACAAAAAGCGAAGAAAAAAAATAAACGAAATCGGTTAAATTATTTACAAAAACATAGTTAAAAAATTCCAGCATCCCTCGTTCGAGCACATGCGGAGTCGAAACCACCGTAAGAAATTTAGTTAGATGAAGGCCTCAACGAGGAAAAGCGTCACACGAATGCATATATATATATATATATATATATATATAATATAAGCCTTCACCACTTTAATCAAATCAATTGTGTGGGTTTTCTGGCGGTTTATCTTGAATCGTTCTTATCCACATACCACATAGCACCCATCAGCACTTAGCTTTGGAGCGGATAGAATGGAGATCAACGTGTTTTAGTGGACTCAGCAATTTTCAATCTGCTTGTCTAAATCATCTTCAAGAAATGAGAGCAAGATCTAAAAGGTCAACCAATCTTACAGTGATCTCATCTCACAATCCTCACACTTGCTCCATATGTGGCCTTCTTTGTAAATATCTATCTATCTATCTATCTATCTATCTCTCTCTCTCTCTATATATATATATATAATAATTTAATTAGAAAACAGACAACCTTAAGAGTCCATTGATTTGATTTTATTTCCCCAGGAAGGTGTTTTTTTCCTGGTTCTTCAGATCACATTTCCGTGCATAAAAATGTTTTTAAATTTAATACAATTTAATATGCTTCGAAATGTGATCTGGAAAACCAGGAAAAATCACTTTTCTGGGGAAATAAATATAAAGAATATAATAAATCCCTTAATGTTGTTTGTTTACACACACACACACACACACACACACATATATATATATATATATATATATATATGTTCGTGTGTGCGTGTGTTGTAATGGAGACATTATTAAACTTACAGCAACCGCCGTCTGTCTAACGCTCTGCATTGCAGGGAGGAACCCGGACGAAGCTTTGCCGAAGGGCAAGGTTGCGTTCAGGAGGCGGGTTCGAAGGCTATATTTTTGGCCGGGCCTACGGGCTCGGATTGCCGACATAAAACTCGGCCTTGTGCGACATGCTACCCCACGTGGGGGGCGGACACAGCTAAATATAGTTGTAATGGAGACATTACTGTGTTCGAAAGAGGAAACAGTCACTTCCAAGACCTTCGACTGCGCCCTGCGGTTGGCAAGCCAGAGAAGAAAAGCAAACACCATTTGTCCCTTTTCCTTTTATACCACATTGTATAGCGCCATCTAGCGGGTGTTAGAAAAAGTCTCTTCGCAGACATGTTAGGGTAATCCCACATTAGCAAGACTCTTTTGATTCATCTATATTGATAAGTCTTGGATAAAATTAACCATTATATTATCTAACATGGGGCATCGGTCCTTTAAGAGTTCCATCTTGAAATGACACTAAGGGATATTTTATGCATTCAATTTCCACAGGTAGGCCAAGCTGATATTGTAAGAAATTTTAATCTGTCCCCTGTCCAGACTAATTTAAAACGACCTAATGACATTACAGTGATCATTAAGCTATTCACAACAATGTAGTTATTGTAACGCCCCATTTATTACAGACATGAAACGAAACGAGACGTTGTCGTATAATATATTGAGACATAAAAATGAATGGAAATTGTTTTAATAAGCAGGGAGAGAAAACAGAGGGGAAAGTTAAGATGTACTTTAGGAAAGGAAAAGAAAGAAAGAAATTTATTTAATTCTCTCATTCTTTTCTTTTCGTAAGAAATAACAGAAAGGAAGAAGGAATGAGCGATAGGTACAGCATTCAAAAAAAAAAAAAAAAAAAAGAAAAGAACTAATTTAAAATAACGAGCGAAAATCATTGGACTAAAAAGAAAGAAATGAAATTCACATGAAATGAATAAGAAATAGCTAAATTACAACAGGAGAAATGAAAGAGAACAATAAGAAAAAATGAATGCATTCGAAAAACTGAAAGAAATCTTTCTAAACAAAGAATAGCTAAAAGATAAAAAAAAATCAAGTAAGAAGTGGAAGGGAAAAGAAAACTTTTAGAGGAGTAAAATGAATACTTCGAGAAACATACATGTTAAAAAAAGACTGAAATAAAGATAGTAAGAACGAAAGAAATAAACAATTCAAGAAGGAATATGGAGAGAAAAAATAGGAAGAAAATTTGAAAAAGACAAAAATAAAACAAACTGAAATGAAATAAATAAAAAGAGAAGGAAAGAAAGCGAAAGAAAAGTAAACTTAGGAAGGAAGAAAGAATCAAAGAAAGAAAGAAATGATAAAATAATGAAAGATATTAGAGAAAAACGGCTAGGTAATGAGAACAGATAAATGATAGGAAGAAAGAAAAAAAACAAAGAAACAAAAAAATGTCTATATATATAGAAGATATAAGAAAAAGAAACGGATGAAGAAATAAAGAATGAAATATATAACAGAAAAAAGAAAAAGAAAGAAAGAAAGAAAGAAAGAAATGGCTAGATATAAAAGATGTAAGAAAAAGAAATGTCGAGATCATAAGAAAAGAACAAAGGAAGAAAGAAAGAAAGAAAGAAGAAAGAAATAAAGAATGAAATGGCTAGATATATAAGAAAAAGAAATGGCGAGGTAATAAGAAAGAAAGAAAGAAAGAAAGAAAAAAGGAAGAAAGAAAGAAAGAAAGAAAGAAAGAAAGAAAGAAATGGCTAGATATAAAAGATGTAAGAAAAAGAAATGTCGAGATCATAAGAAAAGAACAAAGGAAGAAAGAAAGAAAGAAAGAAGAAAGAAATAAAGAATGAAATGGCTAGATATATAAGAAAAAGAAATGAAAGAAAAAGGAAAGAAAGAAAAAAAAGAAAGAAAGAAAGAAAGAAAGAAAAAAGAAATGGCTAGATATAAAAATGTAAGAAAAGAAATGTCGAGATCATAAGAAAGAAATAAAAAAGAACAAAAAGGAAGAAAGAAAGAAAGAAAGAAAAAGAAAAAGAAAGAAATAGTAGATATAAAAAAAGAAGAAAGAAATAAAGAATGAAATGGCTAGATATATAAGAAAAAGAAATGGCGAGGTAATAAAAAGAAAAAAGAAAAAAAGAAAGAAAGAAAGAAAAGAAAAGCTAGATATAAAAAATGTAAGAAGAACAAAAAGAAATGGCGAAAAAGATAATATAAAAAAGTAAACAAAAGAAAAGAAAGAAAAAAAAAAAAAGAAAGAAAGAAAATATATAAAATAAAGAAAAGAAATCGAGATCTGAAAAGATCAGATAAGAAAAGAAATGGCGAGGTAATAAGAAAGAATGAAAGAAAGAAAGAAAGAAAGAAAGAAATGAAATGGCTAGAATAAAAGAAAAGAAAAAAAAATAAAAAAGAAAATGAAATGGCGAAATAAAGAAGAAATGGCTAGATATATAAGAAAAAGAAATGGCGAGGTAATAAGAAAGAAAGAAAGAAAGAAAGAAAGAAATGGCTAGATATAAAAAATGTAAGAAAAAGAAATGTCGAGATCATAAGAAAAGAACAAAGGAAGAAAGAAAGAAAAGAAAGAAAGAAAAAAGAAGAAAGAAATAAATGGCTGAATAATGAAATGGTAATAAGAAAGAAGAAAGAAGAAAAAAAAGGAAGAAAGAATGAAAGAAAAAAAGAAATGGCTAGATATAATAAGAAAAGAACAAAGGAAGAAAGAAAAAGAAAGAAATAAATAAATAAAAATGGCTAGATATATAAGAAAAAAGAAATGGCGAGGTAATAAGAAAAGATAAAAAAAAAGAAAGAAAAAAGAAATGGCTAGATAAAAAAACAGAAAAAAGAAATGTCGAGAATAAGAAAAGAACAAAGGAAGAAAGAAAGAAAGAAAAGAAAAAGAAACAAAGAAGAGAAAAAAGAAAGAGAGTAAGAAATAATGAATGAAATAGATAAAGAAAGATATAAGAAAGAAACGGCTAGAAAGAAAAAAAGAAAAAAAGAAAGAAGAGAAAAAGAAATTAACAAAGAAAATGAAAAGAGAAAAAAGAAAGAAAGAATTAAATGACTGAATAATAAGAACAGAATAGAGAAAGAAACAAAAAGAAAAATAAAAGAGAAAAAAAGAAATAAGAATTAATGCTGACAAAAGAAAAAAAAAAAAGCTTGAAAAAGAAATAAAAGAGCAAAAATTAAATAAGAAGAAAAATAGAAGAGAAAGAAAACGTTAACTAAAAAAAGAAAAAAGAAAAAAAATAAAATGAAATAATAATAGAGAAAAAAATGATACGTAAAAAGAAATAAAAGAAAAAAGAAAGAAACAAGTAAATGGCGAGGTAAAGATGAAACTTAGAAAGGAAGTACTACGTAATGAGATTATAAAAGTAATCATACTTATTATAAAACCCAGGTTGTGTGTCTGTACGTTTATATATGGGATCGGATTTCCTACATTTTTCAACCGATTTCAACAAAACTTCACAGGACTACTTAAAATAACTTGCGGTGGTTCTGACAGTGCCGAAAATTGGAAAAACACAATTATTTTTGTACGTTATGTATGTTATACTTATTATAAAACCCAGGTTGTTTGTGTGTGTGTGTGTGTGTGTGTGTGTGTGTGTGTGTGTTCGTTTATATATGGGATCGGATTTCCTACATTTTTCAACCGATTTCAACAAAACTTCACAGGACTACTTAAAATAACTTGCGGTGGTTCTGACAGTGCCGAAAATTGGAAAAACACAATTATTTTTGTACGTTATGTATGTTATACTTATTATAAAACCCAGGTTGTTTGTGTGTGTGTGTGTGTGTGTGTGTGTGTGTGTGTGTGTGTGTGTTCGTTTATATATGGGATCGGATTTCCTACATTTTTCAACCGATTTCAACAAAACTTCACAGGACTACTAAAAATAACTTGCGGTGGTTCTGACAGTGCCGAAAATTGGAAAAACACAATTATTTTTGTACGTTATGTATGTTATACTTATTATAAAACCCAGGTTGTGTGTGTGTGTGTGTGTGTGTTCGTTTATATATGGGATCCGATTTCCTACATTTTCAACCGATTTCAACAAAACTTCACTTTTTTGGCAGGTAGTGTTTCTTATTGTCTTGCACACTTTTTTTTCTTTATTTTTTACATTCACAATGCTTTAAAAATTCCATTTACAAGACAATTGTTTATAATAAAATTCTATTCAATCGTTAGACTCATAACGATTGAAAACAATGTTTTTGTTTGAGTTTGGTTTTGACCAATTCGTAAAAAAAAAAAAAAAAACTGTTTAAGACATGCGTGTCCGTCAACTTTAAACAATAATCTTTGTCAATTTTATTTTTCAGTCTTTATGATGGTCGATACTTGATCTATCTCTTACTGTTACATCTACCGCTAGTCTTATATATAAAGTATAGTGTGTGCGTGCGCCCAAGCAACTCGTCCGCTCCCACTGGTCCTATTTCAATGATTCATAACGCATTCAAAAGTCCTAGAAATATTAGGCGCAGGGAACGATTTTCGTTGAGCTCTGAGTCAGGGTTGCCAGATTAGGCGTGGTTAAAAACATAAATTAATATATTATACTAATCATTATCGTTGTTTTCATGGTTCAAGCAGGGTAACTCAAACTTTCCTTTTGTATCCAAAATTGCAGTGCACGTTTTATTATAAACTATCGGGAGGCATTTAAGCTAGCTCCTGTGAAGGACTCTTGGTTTGGCCATCATCTCAATAGCTAGAGAGAAGTAAATGCAATAGACATCAATAAACTAGAGACGAACTCATAATTGATCGCCTGTATTTAAGTACTGAATTAATGTTTAAGCTTAACTTTTAAAAGTACAACGATAATTCTTCTGCTGCCACTTAATTTAAAGACGATTTGGTGTAAATAGATCCTTATTTTTCGCATAAACATTTTCTTTGTTTATTTCATGGGTGACAGAAAAAGGGACAATTTATGAGATAAAATGAATATAGTGTAAAGATTGAAAAATACAAATTAGAATTAGTTATACATTCAACATCTGAAGAGTTGGAGAAACATAACTAATTCAGTAAAACCTATATTAAAAACTAGGATGGCTAGCTCCTTTGACATCTTTATTTACATTACGCCGTGAAGCAGCCATCTCTAATATATTCAATATTCAAGTCTGAAAAGAAATTCAGAAATATTAGTATACCTCATGCTGAAAGAAAGTAATTTTATATATATATATATATATATATATATATATATAGTCAACTCTCCCGTCGAGTTTGACGTATGAGGGTCAAGCAGATCAGTTCTTAGGAAACCGACAGCCCGACAACAGCACATGAGATTTGATTATTGTGATGAAGGTTTCGTGCAGCAGAAATACTGATGCACTAAGTGCCACAAGGTCCCCAAACAACCCTCCGCAGGTTTTGAATTCAGAGTTGTCCTTCTCCTAGACCAGTTGCCATCCAAGGCTATAGAACCCAGTCCGTCCTGCTATTTACCCATAGCTGGAAGGAGAAGAGAATTCACACCTTTCCCAAGGGTATTAGCACGTAAGTGAATGTAATGGGTTCGACTGGAATTCGAACTCGGCTCTGCGATTCATCAATACAAGCCGCTATCCATTACTCCACCGTGCCTTCTCCTCTCTCTATCTCTCTATATATAATTATGTGTATGTGTATAGATAGATAGATAAGTAGATAGATAGATGGCATAAACACAAGTATTATTGCTTGTGAGAAATTTTTCAATGCATTTACCCTATAAATAGCCTAGGTGTCAAAAACGACACCTCGGCCAATCAAGGTAAAACCTCAAATATCAGCTATTCAATGGGATTAAGTCTGTTAAGCATCTTTGCTAAAATTCAATAATTGTCCATAAGCTTCAGCATCGAACCAAAACTAGTTATTCCATAAAAATTTGTTGAAAATTTGAAGGCCGTCCTTGTGTTAATAATAATTAGCGATCATGTTTCTCTAACTCTTTTAAGCTAGTAAAGACAAAAAGAAAGAAACAACATGGAGAAAAATGAAAGAGAATAAAAAAACGGAATGATAAAACTAGTTAATAATAAGAAATAATTTAAATTTAAAATGCGCAGAGAGACACAATTTAGATAAATAATAATTAAGGACAAGAAAATTAAACGTTATTTAAGCAAAAAGAAAATTTAAGAAAGTGCTATATGAAAAGAGAGAAAAGAACGAAGAACTACGCAAAAGTCGAAGAAAAAAGAATGCGCCATGTAACAAGGCAAGGCACGGTGGTGTAAATGATACGTACTTGGTTAAGGAATCGGAGAGCCGCGTTCGAATTCCAGTCGGATCCATTACCTTCATTTGTGTGCTAATATATTTTAGAAAGATATTAATATTTTACTTCTCCAATTACTATGGGTGAATAATAATTTTTATACATAACAGGACAGACTGTGCATCAGGTCTCCGTATTCGGAGGAGGCACGGTGGAGTAATGGATAGCGGCTTGGATTGAGGAATCTGAGAGCCGAGTTCGAATTCCAGTCGAATCCATTACATTCACTTACGTGCTAATAACCTTGGGAAAGGTGTGAATCCTCTTTTTTCTCCCTCCAGCTATGGGTAAATAGCAGGACAGACTGGGTTCTATAGCCTTGGATGGCAACTGGTCTAGGAGAAGGAAAACTCTGAATTCAAACCTGCTCTTAGATGAGGGTGAATGGAGTCTCTCTGAGCCTTGGTTGGCAATCCATTTAGTGTTGGTGTCACGATAAAAAACACCCTTGATAGCCCTAGCGAAGCATCATGAATTCAGCTATTTGACAAGATTATGAACTACACCAATCAAAGTATTAGTGAGTTCAATCTCGGCTGAGGCCACAAAATGATGATGATGATGGCTGTCTAGGAGAAAATAACTCTGAATTTGACCCTGTATGTACACAGGTAAAGAAAGCACCGTTCTCATTGGCTTTATGATCTCGACTCCAGTCGTATGATGAAGATAAAAAATAAAGCAAAATTTAAGAGAATATTAGAAATGAATCACTTCTTTTATGTTGGCGACCATTGCTCTCCGCAATTTCCTGTCCATTGTAGATCTTAAAAGTGTTTTTTTTTTCCCCTCAAGGCTATCCGTTGCTTTTCTCTCTTCCTCTTTCCTCTCTTGTGAGTATCAGATTTTCCAAGCCTTGGTCCTTCATAATGGACCTACAAATTCTAAGTCTTCCTGATGTTAAGTATAAGTTTCGGTTTTGTTTCCATTTTCTCTAAAATGTCAGTCTTGTTTACATTTTCGGACCATGCAATTCTCAGCTTCCTTCTGTAGAGCCACATTCACTGCAATATAGGAAGATAGAGATCACGTAACAGTCCTCTTTTCATTGTTTCTAACGAAGTTTTTTCTGTTTCTTATTACTCTGCTTAGCTTTTGGAAGGCATCTTTGACTGTCGCAATGCGCTTTCGAATGTCAGTGCAGAAGTTGGAAATTCTGAAAAAAATATCTATGTATGCTTCTGTAAAGACACGTTTATGGTCACTATTCACTGACATACAGGAGGACTGGTATTACATAACAGTTCAGTACGATTTTCTTTGTTTATAAATAAATGTTTAAAACGTAACTTTTCCAAAGGAACAATAACTGTCTTTAAGAGAAGGAAAGTAATAAAATGTTGCCAAAAAATGAGTAAATGAATTAATTATAAATGAAAAGGGGAAAGAAAAAATGTGAAATAGTGAATGAAACAAGCGAAAAGAGCATCTTTAAAAGAAGGAATAAAAAAATGAAGCTGAAACGAAACATTTAATAATGGAAAGTAAAGAATTAAGATTATCATATATATGAAAAAAAGGAGAAAATAAACGATATTGAAAAGAAACAATGAAAGCAATAAAGAAAGAATAAAGGCCGGATTGTCTATTGAAACAAAGTAAGGATAAAATAAAATAAATGTGTTAAAGAATTTATTAAAACGTAAAAAAAAAATAATAAACATATAAAAGCCAAGAAAGAGCGGACGCCATTTAAGGAAAGAAAAATTGGAAAGAAAGAAAAATACAAAATGGAAGGAGGAAAAGAAAAATAGAAAATAAAACACCGTTCGAGTTTCGAAGGAATATACAAAAAATAAAAGTTTATCAGTTCTAAAGAATAAAAATAAAAACACGGTTAACTGAAGAGAAAAAAAATGACGAGCAATGAACAAAGCAATATAACTTTAAAAAAAAGAAGACATTCTAACGATTTCCGGTCGTCTGAAAAGATGTGTTCCGTGTTTGATGTGTAGTTGGTTTCATATAAAACTCGAAACGGCCATTTTCAAACGGGAGTTATAAACATTAGGCCCTGTAAACGACTGGGTACTTGAGATTCCTTTTTTTCTTTTTTCAAATACGAAGGAAAAAGAAAGATTAAATGGTAACTACTCTCTTTTAGTTAGATCCTAGAATTTATAAATGGGCAGTGAAGACAGTAATGATCTCAAACAGGTTTAGTCCGCCAAAGATAATGACGTTGATTATGAATCAGTCTTCTTTCAACTTGAAGGACGAATAAACGACTTGTTTCTTTTCAAGCTGTCAGTTTTATGGCACTATTTTTCCTATCCTTCGACAGTAAAATAAATTCAAAGAAAATACACACAAAAAAATAATAAAATTATTAAGACGTGAAAATCAAAGGAAAATGTCTATATTATCAAGGTAATAATATAGGCTATTAATATGTCAGGGCTTATTTTTTTTTACTCAAAATGATATTTTATGCGGATTATTCTTCTTATTATTATTCCAATAAAAGTTTCATTCACATTTTTATAACATATTCTTTTACTGTAATATGTAATTAGCTTGTAGTTACCTATAACAAATGTACCCGTTGAACCAGATCATGGTGTGTTGAAGCAAGTGGGGAAGGTTTCGGAGTAAGAGGTAAAAGAATAAAAATAAATAAATATTGAGAAATTTCGAAAAAAAAAGAAGAATCCTTTAATTACACATTGCTCTTATTAGAAACGCATGCCCAGTAAATGTCAAATAAAATCCTGATTTAGAGTATATATATATATATATATATATATATATATATATATATATTATAGCGATATATATTTACATACTATATATATATATATATATATATATATATATATATAAATGATAACGGTTATATATATATATATATATATATAGCGATAACGTTTTTTTCTTTAAACCTAAAACTTAAAAAAAAAAGAACAAATTGAAACCTAAAAATAATTGAAGTCAAAATGCCGTTATCCACGGCGAGATAATGGTCCGAATTCAGATGATAACTAAATTAGCAAAATTTGCTCGAAAATATTTCATTTTAAATGCGACGAAAAAAAATTTCATTAGAATAATTTTTTCCTCATCTAAAATTTTTACTCTCCAGGCTTTTATCATCTACTTTTTAAATCAATATAGTGCTTAAAATACGCAGTTATCTTCTACACAACGTAGGACAATAAACTGATAAGTTGGAAAGAAATTCTGGTCGCACTTTTGACATGATTGCTTTCAGGGCGATTATTAAATTATTTATTAATCCGCCGAGCTAGCTCATACATTCATGAGTCTATCACGGCAAAAATCACGGTCCTGCATAAAAGTCAAAAGTCATTAAAATGGCATTTTGTGTCATAACTTAACTGGTTAATGTAGGTGTTTGCTGTTTGAGCAACGCGTTCTGCTTCACGGCTAAGTGTCCAGCGCAGTAGATCACTCGCTAGCTCTTGTTTTGCTCGCCAGCAGTGTCAGAAATAGCGTATTCTGCGTCTGCGTTACGTGAGTCCATAGAGCTGCGATTGAGTTTATCTCCAAGATATATTAAATATATTACAGAGCATCCAAGTATAGGTCGCATCACGTTTAGTCTCCATGGATTTAGTTAATGTCAAAGCAGTTGCACGATACATTAGCATCACCTCTGCAGTGGCTTGAAAGAATCTCCGCTTGAGGTTGTTTGATAGATCGAATTTCCATATTACATCCATATCATTCAAGTGGGGTTTTGCTGTGCCAATTTTCACATCCTTTTCCGTAGAATCTATTTTGCTTCCTAGCTAGATTCGACAGATTTTATTGATACACCTGAGGGAAATTGTTTTGAGCCTTTCCGGGTTGAAGCCTATGAATTCTGAGTCTGTCTATATTTCTAAGATGAGGTATTGTGTACAGTATTTACATTAGTCGGACTATTGTCCTCATCTTTGTCGCCATATTTGTCACAACGGATAAAGGCGTTGGTTAGATCCAGTGACAGACCCAAAGAAGGTGAGTTCAATACCTGGTTAAGGCAGTAGAGAACTTTCAGAGGGAAAATTAGCAGGAGATAACTGATAACTGACTTCCATCAAACATGGCACGTGGAACTAGAACAGTCTACGCCAGTGATCGAAATAAAGTGTTCAGTTCGAAATTCCAACCATCTGAAGAAGGCCGGAGCGTACAACGGCCGTAACGTTGTGACAAATATGGCGACAAAGATGAGGAAAATAGTCCGACTAATGTAAATACTGCCTATGAATTCTGTTTTAGAATAATTGACATAGAGCACAATATCATTGCCAGCATTTTCTAGAAGGTGTAGGAGAATTTTGGCATTGGTAATAGTGACTGCTGTGTAGATAGGTCAACTGCATAGCCAATATCTGTCAACGGTTTTGCCGGATATCGACTTGAGAGGTTTGATGCTAAAGTAAATCTAGATGATGTTTGCCGATGTAATACGTAGACAACGGTGATAACAGATGCAAGAATGTCACTCTGAAGGACCGCCGATTTGATTTCGAATAAGCTAGTATCTCAGTCTTGGTATCTAACAAAAGATTTGGTATTTTTTATATAGCGTGATTATGGCAGTTACTGTCTCAGGGGGGATGTATATATGCAAGGAGGATGTTCTCCATTTTTTACCTTTTGTACGTAATCTAAGGCTTTAGAGAAAACTACATGTGTAAGGTGGAGAGTAGATTATTTCTCCTGATCTCCTTAATAATACACCGAAAGCTTAGAATTGTCCAATGGTTAATTGATTTTTTCGAAAACCATTTGAATTTTTTGGAGCACCTTCTACACATCGGACTGTATTCTGTCGAGAAGTTGTAAATTTTTGCTGAAATGGAGGTGAGTGTGATACCTCTATAGGTTTTGCCACTCGCAGATCGTTTTTCTTTCGGAAAGGAAGTATGGAACATTTTGTCCATCTTTCTGTGATGTCTCTCTTATATATATATATATATATATATATATATATATATATATATATATATATATATATATATATTATATATAGATTAGAGATTTGGAGTAGAAAGGCATTGAAATCCTGTGTCTCCAAAACTTTCGGAGGAATGTTATCAAGTCCTGTCTCTTTCCTACTTTTGGTGTTTTATTTTAAAGCCGTTTGAAGTTCTGCATGTGTAACGTTTCCACGTTTAATGTCAAAAGTATGTTCAATATTTTGGTCGACCTAACTAAAATGTCAGGTATTTTTCCCAAGAGATTTTTGATATGGTTTTGCCAATAATTTAGCCTTTTAACCTGAGTATTGGCCTTTAACTTTAAAATTTTTGTTGAGTTTATGTCACTGATCCCTTTAACAGTATTCCAAGCAAGAGCAGACTTCTTGTATCATCATAGGTATTGCTATATACACACACATATATATATATATATATATATATATATATATATATATATATATAGAGAGAGAGAGAGAGAGAGAGAGAGAGCGAGAGAAAGATAATATAAGTGGAAAGGATAATGCAAGTGTTTTTGTTTTTAATATAAATTTTAATCCGAACAATATGATATACATCAAGGAAAATCTTAACATTCCAGTTTGTTCCATCAGAATATATAAATGCATTTATATACTTTTTATATCTTCGGTCTGATTAGACTTACTGTTCGAAATAAATCATGATTTATTGCCGTATTTTCGTGATGTGTTCATCTTTTTTCCGTTATATATATATATATATATATATATATATATATATATATATATATATATTTATATGAATTTTAAGACCAAAAGTACCATTACACTAATTTATTTCAAACAAAATCCTTTTAAAAGGACTCCGGATCATCCTTAACATTCCAACAACGAAATGAAAGGTAAAATGATCCAGAGTCCTTAAAAAGGATTTTGTTGAAATAAATTATTGTAATGGTATGTTAAAGTGGTCTGTTATTTCATTAAATATTAGCTCTGTATTCACATTGAGCTCTCAGGATTTCATCCTCCTTGGAATTACCCATTCGCTTTACCAAGTTCTTCGTAACTTATATATATATATATATATATATATATATATATATATATATATATATATATATGTGTGTGTGTGTGTGTGTGTGTGTGTGCGCATAAAATTCTAAAATTGTTATTATTATAATACTGCTCTCTGCCATCCCTTCCTATAGAATATCCATACAATATCTATGTTCTGTTGTCTTTGGTGACTGGCGAAAGGTTCCTACTCACCCTACCCAACTCTCTGCCTTGTTAGGATCCCAATGTCGTATGTGTAAACTTTGTAATAATAGGATATAATCATACTTAATAGATAAAATCCATCCCTGCTACCGACAATTGTAAGCTGTAGTCCAGACAAACCTGTTAGTGTTAAGGGTAGATGGAACTCTATAGCCGGATAGGAAAACTCTATGAAACCTAGGAGTACACCGTTTAAATCAACTGTCATTGTAATGCAGGATGCAAAATTATGCATTTTTCATTTACGATGCACACGCGTAACATAACCCGCATGTCAGTGAGCAAGATCCAGTAAAAATATCATTAAATTTGACCCTCCTTCTCACTATAGGTATATCGAACCGTAGATGAGTATTAAGCCACTGAAAGACGTACATGAGTATCACGGACACCAGAATCCAATTCTGTATCGCCAGTCAGTCGGGTTACAAAGGAGCGCATTTAAATGTTACCCCAACCTCTGCACAGTGTTCGAAAAATCAGCTACGGCGTCACTAAACAAATCATCTACCATGCAACAAACCTGCATTAATTTACACTCTCAAACTTTGCAGATTTAACACAATAAATCGGATGCCTGTAGTTATCTGCCAATGAAGTAAATATGAAAGTGATCTGGATTCAGGACTACCGCTATTTTCATCCTGATGTCAACCTCAAGCATCACAGTGGTGGGAAAAGGCTGGGCCTTCATCTCAGCCTCGGATTTGATAAATTCCATATCTACTACCACTGCAGGTTTTGGCATGTTATTCAGTCCTCTAGCTCCTCAAACTTTTATGCATATTGAAGACATTGAACACAAAATAATCATAGCTTTATTCAACGGCAACCCTATAGACAACATCATCCACCGCTGTTCAGCAACAAATGTTACAGTTTTTTGTGTATATATGTATGAAACTAGTGAGCGAGTCAAAATGACTTAATTCCCTTTATAGTCGACCAATAGAAAAATAACCAATCAGAAGCCGCAGAACGCTGTATCCGTCGTGTATAAAGGCGGCCATCTTTGTGATTTCCTACCGGAATGACCAGAGCCAACTTCTCAGGCGAACATGACAGACGGAGGAACTACGCTCTGCTACTTTGCTGAGATATCCACTACGAACCTGCAATACGCTTTCCTACCGTCTACGAAATATTCACTGCCAACCTCTGGATTCTATACTCGAAGACGACCGTCAAAATGTCTAACAACAAAGTCTAACGATTAAGAAAAGATGACCTATTTCGATTAGTACCACGCATCGTTTGTCAGATTAGTCCCAAACCGTAACTTCCTGATTATTAGTGGTGTATGAATGTCCAGGTTAGTGTCAGTGACTTACACAAATGTGCATATCAGGAACTCTCTTATAGAAATGGGATCTTTCCTGGAGACTTTATACAGGGAAATAATCTTGAATGCCTACTCACCAGATATCAAAGGAAGAGTTCTAAAGAGTGGTCATTCACCCTTATCAATCATCCAAAGTGCCAACTGGATCACAACCTGATAAACATGAATTGGAAGAACAGTGAAAAGAATTGACAAGCCTTCAACACATCTTTTTTAGCTCGAATTTACTACCCTTCCAAACCGCGGCTCTGCAAACTAGATAGATCACCTCAATATGCCTATTCAACGGCAACGCTATAACTACCATCATCTCCTGATATTCAGCAACAAAGTCTAACGATTAAGAAAAGGTAACACATTTTTATTAATTCCTCTCATATCTTAGACTCGTCCCAAACCATAACATCCTGACTATTAGTGGGATATGATTGTCTAGGTTAGTGTCAGTGACTTACACAGATGCGCTTATCAGGCATCCTCTAACAGAAATGGGATCTTTCTGCAAACTTTATACAGGAAAATAATCTTGAATGCCTACTCACCAGATATCAAAGGAAGAGCTCTAAATAGTGCTCATTCACCTATGTCAATCATCCAAAGACCCAACTGGATCACAACCCGATAAACATGAAGTGGAAGAATAGTGCAAAAAATTATCAAGTCTTCAACACATTTGACTGTGCATCTATAGACCATCAGATTATTGCCTCCATCACACGACTTAGTCTTAGAGTCAATAAGTAAAAACAATCTGATTTTCCACCGTATGGCTGATCTATTCTAAAAAGAAACTGTCATCTCAAAGATCAGTACACCATTGCATTCAAAAATAATTTTGAAACATTACAAGCATATTCCAATATGCCATCTTCTAATACAACCTACAATATTTTTTTTTATTTTACTTGAAAAAGCTGCTGCAGATATCATATCATTAGTACATAAACATAAGTAACACATTCCTTCACATAGCTTTGAATCCCAAACGGCTGACGAGAAAGAAAGATAATATGAACATTGTTTGAGAACAATTATTCGAAAAACATTTATTTGAATTGCAAATTGTTTGAATGAAAATTAATCAAAAGTACAATTATATTAATGGTAATTATTCGAAATGCAAAAACTTTTATTGCAAAAAAATAAAAATAAAAGAGGAAATACACAAATGATAATTATTCGAAATACAAATATCACTAATCAAATAATTTAGTAAGAAAAATCCTTATAAACTTAAGTTATATGATATTGTACGCAAACAGTCAACTACTAAAGAGTACTCGTTAAATGATTCCAATAATTCTTTAAGTTTTCCATTTACGTCGCGTTATTTCTTGGCGCTCTTGATATTTTGGCAACCTGTTCTTTCTTTTGCAATATGAATTTTTTTCAAGTCCTGTTCTCTTTTAAGAAAGTTTACGAATTTCTATATTGCGGGGTGATGGGATGACACTTGCTGCAAAAACGCCCTATGCCATCCTTCAAGGGCGTTATTAATTCCAGGTAAATCAGAATTAAATCTCTCAAAACAAGACCAAATTCGATTTCAAACATAGGTATTTTGTATAATTATCATTTAGTATAATTGTTCGTTCGATTAATTTTCATTCAAACAATTTACAATACGAATAAATGTTTTTTTTTTCCTCGAATAATTGTTTTTGAATAATTGTTTCGAACAATTGTGTCGATACGAAAAGAAAAGGCCGCCCTCAAAATGAAAAACCATCCTTTAAATCTATGGAAGACTTCAATGAAGTACTTTTAAAACTCAAGAACTCTTATGAAGATCAACAAACTGAATACATCCAGGAAAATATTTTTTAGTATAGTAAAATAATAATTGCAGTTCATGTTCTGATTTTTGCAGAATATGCAATATCAAAAAGGGTTCGATATTGTATCTATTTGCTCTCATAAAACTAGTTCAGATCCGATTCATTTCAGACATTATATTATGTTCTGTGTGTGCCTAATTCTCCAAACCGTCTTTTCTCATTGGGCTCTTCAGCAAAAGGAAACTCAATTAAATATACCTTCTAAGAAAATGAAAATTTAAAAGTTCAAATATGTCATCGATGGTTCGTTAGTTTCGATCGGAAAAATATTCCTTTGATAATTCCATTCGATCTGGACGAAAGATTCCTGCCGATACTGAGTTTCTGCAAACCGGATTTAAGAAAACTATAAGCAAACTAAGTGAGGATTTACAAAACGATTCAATAAAAATCGCAACTCGAATATAAAAACAGCATAAACAAACCTCTTGCACACGGGAGAATGTATAAACATGTTCTGTGGGTGCCTCAGCAATTGTTTCATCTTACTGAAAACGTTACTCTCCGCTCGTCATCGAATAGTAGACTTCTTCTTCTTCTTCATTGTGCTGACTATCTTCACCATGTAGACGATCATGGCTCTCTACATTTTCCTGTCTTTTGTAGCTCTTAGTAAAGTTTGTCTTTTTGATAGCTCGTAATATATGTTCTAGCATCCATTCATACAAACTCTATAGGTTTGTTATTCGCTGCTTTCCTCTGTCATTTCCGCCATAATTATGCCCTGTGTGTGTCAAATTCTCCAAACAGTCCTTTCTCATTGAGTGTCCAAGATATTTCAACTGATAACAGCACTTTTTCTTTCTATAGACTTTAAAATCTTTGGTCAAATTTCCATGTTATGTGATTCCAATCATCCTTCTGTAGAACCACATTTCTGTTGACTCAAGGTTTCTTTTTGGCTGTGATGAGATTGTCCAACTTTTTCCTAGGAGTATCATCACCAGCAATGAAAGGTGGCTTCTTCTTAATCATAATCAAGTGTGGCACCATGCATGATTGGAAAACTGAAAGGTTATATTCATAAATATATGATTTATTTTTTTCGGTTTGTTAACTATTTTTATAGTTATTTAGAGATGAAAAATATTTCGGGGTTAGGAATAATTCTTTCTTTACATTTAGGCGATCTGAGAGAAAGAAAGAAAGAAAAGAAAAGGAAGGAAAGAAAGGAGAAAAATAAATAATACGAAACCAGGTCGTAAGCGAAAACACACACGCTCGACTGGCACATATCAGATGTCAAAAATATCAGGTCAAGCACCGACCTACTTTCGTGTCCGCGGAGGATGGGAGTTTGTTATCAATTTGGTTGAAGAAATAAAAGTTTAGAGACAATGAAAAAAATATGATAGGTAACAGGTGGGAAGATTATCTAAGGATATACAGACAATCCATTAATACGAGAACCAGAATTGAAAATACAGTCACACAGGATGATGATTAGAAAATGCTTTTTTTTTGAGATAATTAAGATTTTGTTGTCAAGCTCCGAGCGAAGGGAAAAAGTGAAATATTTTTATTAGTTCACGTTAACGCCACCCAGGATGATGTCGCTTTTTGAGATAATACAGATTTTTATTATCGGCCGGGGAGAATGAAAAATTTTGTTGCGTTCAGACGGCCGCCGACAGGTCTAAGAAATTCTTTCCTTAGATCGTATCCAATTAGCGATAGGCTGTTTTGACAGATACCACGTGTAAAAGAAACCGGGATCGTCATTTTCGTACGAAAAGGACAATTTAAATTTTGTTTTTTTAAGCAAGGTGTTTCTTCCCCCAGAACAAAGCCACGGATTGTCCACGCCCGATTAGAAACGTCACGAAGGAAGGAGGAAACATACCGACCAGAGTTTCATTGGCCGAAGGCTGTCACATGATACATGAGGGAGGAGGAGAGACACCCGACCAGGACCCCATTGGCCGAGAGCGGTCACATGATGTGCGAGGGAGGAGGAAAGATGCCCGACCAGGACCCCATTGGTCGAGAGCGGTCACCTGACATACGAACGACCAGAGGAAGCGGGTATACGCCCCCCCACCAGAGGCACAGTAAGGAAGTAGGAGTGAAAGTAAGTTACCGAAAATGGAAAATCCCTAATCAGAAATAATACGTCTTTAGAATTATCAAGAAAACCCTGGCGCCGACAGACCCACCCCAGTTTTTGTCTGCCTCAATAAAAGCAGGACCCTAACCGACTGAAATCAGTTTGGAGCTGCGCCTCGGATGAAGAGGGAGTTTGAGCGCGGGCTGCGGGCCCG